AAGTATATATATTTGTGTATAAAATCATAAAATACTTTTTTATCATATAATTAAAATTGAAAACATTTTTTTAATTAAAATGTATCTTTGTATATAACAATATAAAAAAATACACTCCTTTTTATACAAAATTCAATTCTTGACATTTACATATTTTTTATACATAATGAAAACCTAGAAATAGTTTCTTTTCTTAAAAAACATCATTTCATAATTTAATTAGAAATAAGAACATTTAAGTTAAAACATTTTTCTTTTTGTACATAATTAAATATACAAATCAAAGATTCGTTAAAATACATATCTAGGTCAAATACCCTAATACGCTTCAATTTCACATGTCGCGCTTGTAAATAATTACACATACTCATATACATCTCACATTTACACTTACACATTCATATTGCTCCTATACATTTGTTTATCTTATATTTGTATATTCGATATTTACATTTGATCACACATTCGATTTGGTTGTAACTTATTGGATACTATAAGTCTCATCCCCCTTTGTACATTTATACCCCCACTCCCGGACACTATTTTGTAATAGCGTAGATTTTACATTCCGCAATTTACAGTTTTCCAATTATACCATGGTTAGACCTAGGGTTTGTATGTACATAAAATCAAAGGCTAGATAACCTAATACAAGACAAATACATGTAATCAATACACAATCACACTTGCACCCTCTAGGGTAGTCCCACATGTTGCCTTCCAAAATGGGCCATGCTTGCACGTCGAGTATCTTTGGCAAAACAAAATCAAATGATCATAAGTCTCAAAGTGTTGCCTAAACGGAATGATCATAGTCCCTTCAAAGCAAATTGCCAAAGACACTTGGCACCATTGCATTCATGGTCCATACGATAACCCGCGCCCGTCCCGAATAAACTTCCTAAACGCAAGATCGTCCACCAATTTCAATGGTGAAACGAAATTGTTAAAAAGGGTTAAAACATAACAAAAACCTTTGAGTACAATAGGGTAGACAAAACTCTTAGTTACTTGAGATCAATTTGCAAAAACACTTGCCTTCTTTTCAAAAACCACAATCCACAACACTTTCAAACAAACTCTCAAAAACATTTGAAACATCTTTTCGAAAAGATCCACACTTTTGTAAAACACTCAATCACGAGTCAAATACATTAGTTGCCTAAGACAAGGCATCTTTTTCCAAAACATTTTCAAAAAGCACCCCCACACACACCATTTTCAAAGTAATCGAAAAACAAGGCAAGTGATCTAAAAAACCAAGTAACTAAGAGCCCATGGATAACCATGGATGAAAAGGGTGCTAATACCTTCCCTTTTCATAATCTACCCCCCGAACCCACGAAATATCTCAAAAGGTTTTTGCTGTGCTTTTTTTAACCTTTCCTTTAGGATAAAATAAAAAGTCGGTGGCGACTCTTGCTCAACCGAAACATTTGCGAATACAAACGCAAAACTCACAGTCAGTTCTCCCACCGTATCACAGTATCGCTTCTCGGTTGAAGCGGTTGATGAACTCCCTCAAGGTCTCATCCTGTCTTTGGATGATGGCCTCGAGCGCCGCCTCGGTCTTTGGATGGCGTCGAGAAGCGGTGAAGGAACTGATGAACTGGTTCTTCAAGTTCCGCCACGAGGTGATTGAGCCCGGGGCGAGTCCTTTGTACCAGTCCATGGCCGCCTTCCTGAGAGTCGTGGGGAAAAGACGGCACTTGATGGGGCCCCCGACATTATGATAATGGAGCATGGCCTTGAACCCGTCAATGTGGTCGACCGGGTCCGCAACTCCGTCATACTCCTTCAGATGTGGGGGCTTATCCATGCCCGGGGGGATGGGTGCATCCATGATGGCCTGCGACAGGGGACCGCGGGGGTCGCCCTCGTCGCTCCTCTCCGGAGACAGAGATGGGGACCTGTAGTATTGTCTGGCACGGTGGTCGTGCTGAGTCTCCCTCGAGCGTGATGCTCGCTGGTTGAATGTTACACGCTCGTCCCTGGCGTGTCTCTTGTCGTGCCTCGCCGGGTCGCGACTGGGTTCTCCGGCGGGGATGATGGGATCTCTCTCCAAATATGGTCGCCTCTGCTTTGGCCGGGGAGAAGGGCTTCTGGAGTTTTCCCTGTAGTGTCTCCGCGGGGGAGAAGGGTGTCGGGCTTCAGTCACCTGAGGAGGGGGAGTATGTGGTCTCCGATGCCTCCTCGAGGGTCTTCGCTCGTCTTCAAGCGCCTTTAATCTCTCTCCTTGGGTGAAGATGAGATAGTTCGTTTGGTTAATTGCTGCGAACAGCGCTTGTGTGGTGGCATCCGCCCCGGGGGGGACGGGGACTTCTTGAAACCGGACGGCTCTGTAGTGGGCGAGGGCCGCCGGGTCGTCCTCGAGTGGTGGTGGGAGCGAGGAGGATGATGCTGTGGCTCCGTCCCTGTGCGAGGAAGTTCCGAGGATGGTTGTTGCAGGAGCGGTGTTATGGCCGGGATTGCCGACGTTGTCGAGATGTCCGTTTTTGTCCGCCGTGCCGTTATTGGTGTCGGCGACACGGACGTTCTGCTCATCGCGAGCTGGATCAGCCATGACAGGTAGTTGAATTTTGAGCTTTGGTCTTTTGAGTTGTTTGTAAGACGGGGAAGCTAGATTCCCACAGACGGCGCCACTGATCTAACCTGATCAGACTTGGACCGTCACGGCTGGCTCCGAGCTGAAAGATTTTTGAACGAGGTGGGGGGGGGGGGGGGGTACCTGCAAGACACTCCGATGCTCAAGTAAGTAGAAGCACGAGCAGGCAATAGTAAGTATGGGTAGAATGATGAATACCTGACCCTTTGGAAACAGAGGGTATTTATAGCCCCCAGCGCTGGGCCAAGGTTCCTTCCTTAGGCCGGGCATGTTTGGCCCAATGGAGGAACTGTCAGGTTCTACGTGCGTAGTGGGGACCTGCACGTGGTCCCCTTCCTGGATGTTCTGCGTGAAGTGCGGGCGGACGGAGACGCGGTCTTTTCGGGGTCTCGTTGGGAGTGCAGTGGACTGAGTCTGCCCTAGTTGGGGTGCTCGAGATGATGTCGAGCTGGACAGCAGGATGTCGAGCTGGAGATGTAGAGGTCGAGCAAGTGACCTCAGGGAGTACGTCGGGCACGACTGTGACCCTTTGGTCGGCGTGGTCCTCAGCAAGTCCATTTGGATTGGGCCTTAGCAATGCTATTGGGCCTGTCGGGCCCAGTCCATAACACTAACCTTTTCGAAATTGTTTGGACTGGCACATTGGTGAATTATAAAGAGAGCTTTATAATTCTTCTTCGTCAATTCTCTATATGCAGCTTCTTCTTCCTCTGAAGCGTCTTCATCAAGTGGTTTTAATCTATATTTCACAAGATCTCAAAGACCTTGAAAATAGAATATAACATTCATCTATTTGCAGCAATTCTCATAGTTATCACCTTTAAGAATTAGGAGACTTGCTGGAAAATTTCCGTCAGCATAATTCATCGCCACCGTGATCTTCTTTTTCTTCTTCCTCGATCGTTCTTTCCTTGAATCACTCAATAGGAGCTCTTGATACCATATATTGGAAATCCACCAAAATCTATGGTGAATTTCTATCAATCTTGATGAATAAGATTGTTATCACCACACAATAACAATGACAATGAAAAATATAAATAAAGAACAAAGAAGAAGACAATTATTTTCTGTAGAGTTTCTCTCTGCTCACAAACTGTTAAAAACTTTCTTATTCACTTGCAACTGTAAATTATGTGAATATAATGAATTGATTACAAAATAGGGGTTACTCCCTCTATTTATAAGTTTAGGTTAACTTGCTCTCTAAGCCTAAACCCAAAACTATAAAAGTCCAAAATACGTATTTTGCAACTAAATCAAATATATATATTTTAGACATAAATCAAATCGTGTGTGTAACAAATTTTCGACACTTCTAAATCAAATAAAAAATTTTCGACACTCCCTTATCTTTGTCGAACAACCTATTAAAATGAAAAAAAATTACTTTCTAACATCAATCAATTAAACACCATTAAATATTGCCTCACTTTTTTATTTTATTTTAATTTAAAACAAATTAAAATTTTAACACAATTTACGTTAAAAATATCATACTCAACTTAAATTCATAAGTAAAAAACAATTTATCTTTATTTTTTCTTCCAAAAATACAATATTTTGTGAGTTTATTTTTCTCATTATTTGTTTTCGGGAAGAAAAAAAAATTATTTGAAAAAACGAACTAGTTAGTTTGATTGAACCCTTGAAAGGGTAGGTGAAAACGAAAGACAATATAAACACAACTCTCTCCCTTTGTGTCGTGTCCCGCCGAACACTCAAAAGGTCACTTTCCACTCTCCAATATAACTCCGCCCCTTCACTTCTTTCTCTTTCACTTCTTCATCAACTAACTGTAAGCATCTTTACTCCTAATTTCTTTCACGTGCTTTTCTATTTCAATTTCAATTTCGATTTCAATTTCGATTTCGATTAATTATTTAATTCACATGTTCTTCAATATCATGTGTTTATGTTTCTGTAATTTATAGTTTCTTTTGATCCCTAATATCATAGATCACATGATATGATTTAGTTGATGTTTTTCAGTATTTTGATTGTGAATTTGTGATTTACACCTTGTTAGGGTTTTGGTTTTGTATCCACGTGGCTTGTTTCCTTGTGATCCACACCTGTTAGGGTTTTGGAAAATTAGTCTTAGGGCTTATTTGCAGCATATAGTATAAGCACTTATCAAAATAAGTGCTTATGAATAAGCTTACATAAGCTATTTTTATAACAAAAGATAAAATAAATTTAAATTGTTTTTATATATGTCATAAGTTGTTTTTATTAGCTATCTTCAAGAATTTATAAAAATTAATTTCAAAAAAATTACTGAAAAAAAAATGTCACAAGCTGTTTTGCTGCTGCCAGATTTATATAGTTGTTTTCTATGTGGTTTTAATTCTAAAATGATATTGTCTATACTAATTTTGATTCAGGTTTTAAAATGTCGGTTGTGAATATGTCGACCATGACACTTCCAACAGCTTCATTGTATGGAAAAGCGCCCCCTCGGGCGTCTTGTGCGCTTATGAAAAGTCCATCAACTTTGAGATCTGTGAAGAATGTGTCCAAATCATTTGGACTAAAATCTTCCTCGTTTAGAGTATCTGCAATGGCAACATACAAAGTGACACTGATTGGACCAGATGGTAAAGAGAATACATTTGACGCCCCCGACGACGTTTACATTCTGGATTCAGCTGAGGAGGCTGGAGTGGAGCTACCTTACTCATGCAGAGCTGGTGCATGCTCTACTTGTGCCGGACAATTGGATAAGGGTTCGGTGGATCAGTCTGATCAGTCTTTTCTCGATGACCAGCAAATTGAGAAGGGCTATCTTCTCACATGTGTTTCGTACCCGAAATCAGACACCGTGATTTACACTCACAAGGAGGAAGCACTCTACTAAGTGATTTTCACATTTTATTAGTTTTTCTATATGCTTCCTTTGGTTATGTGTCAAGTAGCTGGTTATTGTGAAACTTTGTTGTTGGTGTTTGTGTAACTTATTGAATCATTTTAGGAAAATAAGGAAAGGAAACAAGTTATAGGACATTAGTTTGTTTTCTAAAACTACAATTATGTTGGGGTAGCTTTGTTTGAATTTATTGCATTAAAAGATTTCTTCTCATGAAGGTTGATAAAGTGAGAAGTTTATCTATGAGTCACTCTTTAGTGTCAATTATGCACTAGTAAAATAGATTTGCACTATTGACAAAAATGTTTTCACTATTGAATCAACTAGTTGTATCATATTTCATTTGATTTAATGATCAAAACAACTTTGTATGATGCAAAAGGTTAAAAAAAAGGGTAAATCATATAAAATGTTATAAGATATAAAATGTTATAAGATATAATAAAGTGGTGAATGTCACTTTGATTTTATAACATTTTTTGAAAGAAAAATTTCTAATAAAAATAGCTTGAAAAATGAGAACACTCAGTTTTTATCCTATACAATAAAAATGATAAAGTTAATACCAACTTTTCCTGCAAATCATGTGTTCCACGACCAACAATTTCAATTGGTGGTTACTAGAAAAAGAGAAAAAACCGTCTGAACCTAACCAGGAAAATTATGTAGGAAAAGCATTTGTAAGAAACAAAGAGTTGGTTGGAGATGCAGGGGATCGAACCCTGTACCTCCCGCATGCAAAGCGGGCGCTCTACCATTTGAGCTACATCCCCATTTGTTGACTAAGCTTACTTTAAAACATAATATTATTTTTCAATAAATCCTTACATAAAAGGAATTGAACATGCAGATGCAGGGGATCGAACCTCTACCTTCCACATAAAGCGAACGCTCTACCATTTAATTTACATCCCCATTTATTAACTAAGCTTAATTTAACACATAATATTATTTTGCAATAAATCTTTACATATAAGATGGTGAAAGTGAGTAACACTTCTCTATTATTTTGCTTAACAGTGCGTCAAGTAGAGGAATTACAACCAGGCATGGTTGAGTTTTAAAATGTTGATCATGACAAATGATTGGTTTTAAATGTGCAACTAAAAAATATTGAAGAAATTTTTTAGTCCTAAGGATTTCCCCCTAGTAGAGATGTATTATATAGAATTCTTTTGAAACAAAGAACATAATCAATCCATGTGAGAATTTATTGATATCCTCATGCCCAGAAGAATGAAATTGAGAGGTTGGTGGCTGAAATGTTGGAAGCTTTGTAGTCTTTTTTTTCTAATCAAGTTATTTTGGTCAAGAAAATTAAGCTGTATTTAGATGAAATATTTTAATGATAAAAATTATTTTTTGAAAGAAATTGAAATGATTCAACTAAAATCTATTGTTTGAATGGAAAATTGTTAAAATGATATAAATTTATAAATTATTTAATTGAAATTATTTAAAGAATTTTAAATAAAGAAATTGAATTTGCTCTTTCACTTTATATAATGCAAATGTTAAATAAAAAATTGTTTATTATTGATTTTTTAAATTTTGCAAAATGATCCTCATATTTTATAAAAAAATTAAATTTACCCCCAAAATTTTCAAAAATTACAAATAAATTCCTAATAATTTATAATTTTTGTAAATTAATCCCTTCAAATTTTTAAAAATTGAAAATTGGTCTCTATTTTTCATATTTTAAATTTGGTTCAAAAAATTTAAAATTTATGCAAATGATCCCAAAAATTTAACAATAAATAATTTTAATACTTCATTAAAAAAATAATTTAAAAATAAATAAATTTCAATTGATTCATTTAAATTATTTAAAAAATTTAAATTTCTTAAAAAATTTCAATCACATTATCCAAACACACTCTAAATATCATTCAACAACTCCTCAATAACTTACAAAGAATATTTCATCTAAGTCACCTTATTAAGAGCTCTAAAATCCACACAAAAAATGGCACCGAGTACATATCAATATATCATGCAAGGATCAAGATTCACTTCTTACTTTTCATCCCTTTAAATATTACCTCCTCATAATACAAAGGGACTGATCTAACCAAGTGGCCATAAATATTGTAACAGCTACAACAGAAGATATTGGACTTTGTCTTTGATAAGAGGGAAACAGATGAACATGGTTCATTCATATCAGCTTTTATGCAGACATGTTGCGAGCGCTCATCCCCATTTATATTTGTGAAAACAATGGTAGGTAGATGGATTCGGCGGAGCATGGTGTGTATGAATGAAGATTAGTTTGTGGTAATACTGTACTGAAATAGGTTATCTCAAACATCCCAACAATCAACTTGTAAAATACTCTTGCTACAATCAAAATAACTAAAAATAGGAGAAATTAAGGTTTGAATTTGGCTGCTAATGCAACCCTTATTATATGACTAAGCTATTAATAAAATTAGAGTTTTAAAAATTTTTCCTTTGCAGAATGAGAAATAAAGAGAATTTTGGAAATCTCAGTGGAATAAGGTTCCTGATCAGTGTATTTTAATACACTTTTTAGTTTGTAGTAAGACTTTTATATAATTTCTCATATTATTTTAATTGTTTTTAATAAATTTTTAAAAGTTAAGTTGAATTATGTTTATTTTTTTGAAGAAGTGTTTATTCTCTAAATATAGAGTAATGTGACACTTGTTGTTGTGTATGGCATAATTTGAATTACAGGATGGTGTTTGACGAGTTTTAATATGCATTAGAAAGCTGAAAGGATAAGCTACACGTTTCATGTTGAAGTCATTAGTAAATTTGGAGTGAAGAAGGGCCAAATAATTCAGTTTAGTTTCAGACTTGAGAAAGAAAATGCTTAATTTTTTGGTTGGTTTTGTAATTTTTCGGGTCGGTTGCTATTAGCCCCATATTCCCTTGCCCTATTTAAACAAATTAGTAGTTTTAGGATTGGATGATTAAGATTTTACACAAAAGAACATTAGATGACTACAATTTCTATGGAGAGCTAATTTTTCAAAGATTGATCTACTCATAACGGTTTCCATCGAAGCTTTAGGTATTGTAATTTCAATTCGATTTCAATTTCTTTCAATATTATTATGTGTTTCTTGCATGTGTAATTCAGATTTTGTAGAATATGTTGATTTAATTCGATAGATGCATGTTCTTAAGTTTAATCACGTTTAACGTGACTTTTATGTTAATTTGTCCAATCTTTAATTGTCTGCTTAATTATGTAAATAGGAGCAAAATCGTATAATATCAATTAGACTTGTTTAATTGATATTGTAATCGAATAGGGATCGAATATGCTTGAGAAATTTGAGTTATAATAACCAGTAATAGGTTGGAACCCGAATCGGTAGATTAGCTCGTTAATCTTATTTGTAATCAATTTCTTTCAATCATAATCTTAATCGAAAACTTAAACACCCCTTGTTTCATTCGATTGGTTAAATCAATCAAGAGTCCTTGCGATATGACTCAAGTGTCGCTTTCATTTTACTACACATTAATAACTCGTTTTTGACCCATGTGCAACAACGAATCAGTTCCCTAAGCACTAAAGTGATGAGGCACCGTGAATTGAAGGTTACGATCACAGTGCTCTTTGATCCAAAACCGTTGATTTTGAAATGACGTCTGTAATACGGTGGGAGAACTGACTTGGGTGTTTTGCATTTTATCGCAAATGTTGCAGATAGAAAGAGTCGCCATCGACTTTTCTTTTATCCAATAAAGGAAAGGGTGAAAAGAACAGGAAAGACCTTTTGAGATATTTTCTTGAGTTCGGGGGGTAGATTATGAAAAGGGAAGGTGTTAGCACCCTTTTCATCTGTAGTTATCTACAGACTCTTAGTTATTTGATCACTTTGAAAATGCTTTATTTGAAATGTGTTTGTGATTGGTGCGAGTTTGAAAATATTTTGAAAACGCCTTTGTTTCGGAAAACTTTGTAATAATTCTCGTCTCTATAAGAATGCATACAAAATGTTGGTTTTGAAAATAGTTCACAAAGATGTTTGTTTTTGAAGATGTTTTGAAAGTGTGAGTGTGGAGATGGTTTTAGTTTGTGAGCAAGCAACTACGAGCGTCCTACCTACTCAAAAGGTCTTTGTTCTTTTTCTCCTCCTTTAGATATTGTTATCCTACCATTGTTTGGTAAGAAGCCCTATTATCGGATGTGAAGGGACGAGCAAGGGTCGTCGTGTAGTCATAGAAGTCAACTTATGAGACGTTTTAGCAATTTTTATAAGGGACTAGATCATTTACCAAAGACAACATCGAGGGACTATGATCTTTTTTATCGAGGGTCTTTGCTAAAGCTCCCATATTCGAGGGACATGACTATTTTTCGAGGCAACAAGTGAGGTTATCCTAGAGGTGCTTGTGTGAATTGTGTTTTGATTGCATGCATTTTTGTCTTTAAGATTAGGGTTTTCTAACGATCAATTTTATCTTACCATACACACCCTAATTACTAACAATTATATAAAGCGATAAATTTGTGGAAATTAAAATCCTACGCTATTACATCATTAAGGGAATGGGGATACAATTTACAAATGGGGATGAAGTAGATGTCTAATTATTACAATCATATCGAATAAATGGACAGTAATGAAGAAATTATGTGAAAAATGTAAAGACAGTGTAAAAAGAAAGAAAAATTGCATTTTAAACTATTATGTGTCGACACAATGCTGTTATGCATCGACACATAACTATTCTTGCTCCTGTAAAACAAAATCAACTCAGTATGAGTCGATGCATAATGGGATGTGTCGACTCATGCGCCTGTTTGTGTTGACACATACGCGTTTTGTGTCGACTCATGTACCTTTCATCCTTCTGTTTTAGGGCCTGGATAACAGTATGAGTCGATGCATAAGATCATGTGTTGACTCATACCCTGTTTTGTCACTAGAATTAGTCGACCCATGTGGGTATATGTCAACTCATGCTGCAGTTTTTTGCCTCTATCATCATTCTTTTGCATGTAT